GGGTTTTCTTGTCTTCATAATTTCTTGAGAATTTTATAAAATAATTTTGATTATTTTTTAAATGTGCGAAAAAATGGGGTGTAATCTTAGTATAAATTTTTAGTTGTACATTTTAAAAGTTTTAGGTATTACGCATGTATTAGTCGCATTGAACCTACCTGGAAACTAAACTTTTAGGTTATTGTTTGGAAAGAAATTATAAATTGAAACCTTTTTCGATATTAACTTCAAATAAATTTTACTCTGGTTAATGTTGTATTGCAAGGGATGATTGCTTTTATTTCTTGGACCCATCAAATTGCCTAGATAAAGTTGCCACCCTTAAGTCTTTATGTTGAATTCTTATATGTTAAGAAAAATAGAGTGCATTTTTTCTTTATTTCTTATTATAGGGCATTTGCTTCTCACTTTTTGAAGTCATGTAAAGCTTTTGCACTAACATGGTGAAGACAAAGATATTATGGTAGATTGGTAGCTTGATGCAGTTTTTTTTTAAACTATCGCTTTACCATAGAAAAATCCCATCAACCTTTATCACATACCTTATTACTTCAACATTCAATAATCATTTACATATGCCACAAGTTTTAATCAATTATTTCATATAAATTATCATTTGTTTATTTGTAAAATAGTTAATCTATTGGATTTCTTCTCACTCTCGCAAAAATGTATGCTACTTAGTTTTTTCATATACTTAGATTTTGTTTTGGAGTTTCACTATGAGAAGTTACCGCTTAATAATAACTACATTTTTTGTCTCAATTGTATTACTTCATTATTTGGAATATTGTTATGCAGTTTAATTATTTAATCCATTTGAAAAGGTAAACTTAATAACCCCTCTTCTCAATTTCTTCAATTTTGTTCGACTTCTGCTTTGCTCACTTCGAACAGCTTTGCTTTTCATCTTCACCATTTCTTTGTTGTTGTTCTACTTCATTGTCACTCATCAATCTCTTTCGTCTTTTTCACCTTCTTCGTAACTTGATCTTGCTCGTTGAACCCAACTGTTTGCTAAAATTGCTCTTGCCAAACTCATCAATCCACTTGAAAAAAGGTCAAATGTTTTATGTAAATTTTCATTTGCTTATTTGTAAACTAATTATTCATTCGGATTTCTTCTCCCTCTACCTGCTTGCTAAACCCAACAGTATGCAGAAATCCCTCTTGTCGAACCCATGAGTCCACTTGAAAATGTAAGCTTATTAGTGCAAACAATTTATCAGTTGCTTATTTGTAAATTATCATTTGATTATTTGTAAACTAATTATTCAATTGGAATTCTTCTCCCTCTCACTAAAATGTATGCTCCTTGGTGCATGAATGACATATCGAAATAATTCTGAAAGAAGAAAAAAGAAACTTCAAATCCAAGAACAAAACAATTATATTCAATAGCCAAACATTTAATAGAAGAATGTGATATACCTGAAAATAACAAATAAATTAAAGAAATTCTAAATTTAATCTAAACTCCAGAACTAGATATGAGGGCAAGTGTGATACTCTAAACAACTTTTTTTATCTCTTTCTTTCTTTTTATACAATTCCTATTAGGGCACACATCAAACACTAAAAAATGTTTTCAGCCCTGCTATGATAACATAGATAGTGTAAGTTATAGGAGCAATTTATTAGTTCTATAATATGCAATGATAATGTTATCAGTTTGAAAACATTTTCTGACCGTTAAAAAGTTTACTCTTTACCTCCATCGTTCATTCTCTAAACGATTTATCTCTCATATGCTTGTGAATCAAAATCCACCTTCTCTCTTTCAATCAACGCATCCCTCCTCATTTATCTTCGCTTCCCTGCACTCCTCATTCGTTCCTATCAACGCATCCCTGTGTGAAATGACGTCGTTCTTACCTTGTTATATACAAGGTCATGTTCTCGCCATCAAATATCCCGCTGTTTCTTCCCCATTAATGTGAGAGTTGTAAAATTATAGCATTCTAATTCCCCATTAAATAACATTTATCAACGGTCATCAAATATTTACCACTGTTAGCTTTCTTTTCACAAACCCCAAATAATGAAAATTTTAGTTAACATTTTATCTTTCAATTCACTAATTATTAATAATGAAAGTATGAGACTTTTGCAGCCTGTTCTTCATCAATAAGCAACTCAACTATAGATCGCAACCTTCGGATCCCTAACCATAGATATGCCCTCACTGCAAAGAATTCTGTGTTATGCAGCCGCAGCTCCACCATAAGGCAGTTAGTATCCCATTGTACACTTACATATATTCATATCATCGCTGAACGCTTATTTCAAAAATATTTCACCATTTGTGAAACATCTTACTAGGTTGGACTGTCATCCCACCCAGGGAATAAGTACTCATGCCCTGTAGCTAAATGTGGAATCCTGTCACTTGGCAACAAATCTGTTTCAGCTTGTGAGACTTCTATCTGTTCCTATGCTGGCTACACAGCTAGCAGCAATCTTACTTTGCTCACCAACCAATCTACATGCAATGGTAAATTTTACAGTACATATGAAAACATCTATTTTGTGTTGAAGAATATTAGTCTTAAGTGTCATTTTTCATTTAAGGAACCAACGGCTTGGGACCGGTACCAGGATCATCTCAAAACAATGGCTCAGCTTTTAGGCTTGGAGTTGAATGTATGGCTAGGACTCAGCTTATGATTCTTCATATAGCTTTATTTCTTTTTGGTTTGATGTGGAACGAAATTAGTTAATGGGTATTTAGATCTGTTTTTAATTTCTTGTATGTAATGGTAGTTCTTGTGTATTGTAGCAGGGAATTTGTTAGAAGGTTTTTTTATTTGAAAAGTTTGAGCTGTCTTGTTTCGAAATTTTGAATTGAGAGATCAATTTTTTATGCTGATAAATGCCTCTATCTAAATCTATTTTTTTTATTCTTGGCATTGAAATTGTAGTGAAAGCAGGCCTAACATAAGTTTTAACCAAGCTCATTAGTGTTTAATCAAGGACTAAATTAAGTTCATGTTAAATAAGAGAGTAATCAAGGATCGGGAGACACCGAAACTATACTCAAGAAGGAGCTGACAAAAATTGAGTTGATTAATGGAAATCAAGCTAAGATTTCTTTTGTGACATTTTTTTTTAATATTTTTGTGTCATGTAAAATAGATAACAAAAAAGTGTATGCTAGGATGATGATATTTTTCAATATTTTTTTTCAAGTTTGCTTCGGAATTTTCTTTTGGATTGAAGAAATTGGAAGGATTGAAAGTGAATTCATTGTCGACATAGACATTTGCTTTGGCCATCAGAATGATCTCTTCGATTTATCCTCGTTGTTCTGAGGTTATCTTGCTGAAGTCACACCTGTTGTATTTAGTGAGAAGTGTTGGGGGAAGTAAATCACACGACTAATACAAATAAAAAAGAGAAAAATAGCAAAAAAGAAAGAACAAAAAGAAAATTCTATTTGTTTAGATCTCTATAATAATTTCATTTTAATAGAAAATGTTTCAATGCAAATAGTTTTTTTTTGCTTCACTTAACAACTTCTCTATTTCGTGACTTAACTTTATAATATATTTTTCATTTTTACGTTTTATTCACGTGCACATGATGCACGTGTATTTTACTAGTAATAATAAAGCCGTCTGAAATGCAATCAAAATGGTCTCAATAAATTGAAATAGTGCTGGTTTTTGTTGCAGACAGATTTACTGGCTTCACTGAAGCCGGTTTAAATTGGAAGTTTATCCATGCATGTCTTAGGCATGATCCAACTTCCAATGACATGATTACCAGCTAAGAAAGGGTTAAAAATGCATGACAGAGAGAGTGTTTGTGCATAAGGAATTTGTATAAAAATATATTGTACTAACAAAACTTTGTTAAATTAACAAATTACAGCACTCCAATTCTTCCTTCGCTCACTTTATTAATTGCAAAGTGCAGTACCATTTCATTTTGCGCGCACATAAGTGATCAATCATGTTTGATTTCTATTTTAAAAACTTTTCGGTGAAGTACGTAGGGATTACCTTCATTGAACTTGTAGTTTTTATTTGAAGAACCCTAATTTTGGAATTTTTATTACGTCCTGACACTGGACGTAACTCTATATCCAGACATCAATAATATGTCGTCACGTGCTCTTACTCTTTACCGCGCGGCCTGACGACCCGACCTGGACCGGAACGACCCTGTATTGCTATGTTCGGGTAGTGCTAGGTATTGCTCGGTATTGCTAGGTATTGTTCGGTATTGCTTGGCAATAACGAGAAATACTGCTGATCTGTCAAGACCAGTACATAGCAATATCGAGCAATATATACCTAGCAAAACCGAGGTATTGCTCGGTATTGCTATGTATTGGTCTTGACAGATTGGTATTTCTTGTTATTGCCGAACAATATCGAGCAATACCTAGCATTACCGAGCAATACCCCGATCTGCACAAATCAGCCAATACATAGTAATATCGGATCCGGGTCGTCGGGCCGTGCGGTAAAGAGTAAGAGCACATGACGACATATTATTGGAGTCCGAATATAGAGCTACGTAACGTGTTCGGACCTAATAATTTCTCCTAATTTTGGCATCTTGAGAGTATCAAAATTATGGAAGATAACCAGCAATTGCACGGGTCCCACAAGAGAGGGCTAAGGAAGTTGAAGTGGGTCCCATGAGAAAGGAATCTCCGTAACAAACTTCCTCTGTCCGTTCAGCGTAAGGGTGTAGAAGTAAGCAAAAGATAATTTTGGTATCTCCTATATCAGCCTTAAGTGTCAGGCCTGGAGAAGATAGATAAAGAGAAAGCCCCATAGACCATTTTATTCTCTTCCATTCCAACTTTCTCTTCCTATTCTTCTCCTCCTTCTCTACCAATAGTAGTTCCTCATCCCGTGACAAGTAGATTTCTCTCAAGTTCTTCTTCTCTACAGCTTTGAACTCAAATATGTCCATTTAGATTCACAAGCTTGCTTTTATTAATCTTTCATATATCCTTATATCTTCATAAACAAACAAGCAAAAGTATGTTTAATCCCCAGTCTTCAAGCTTCATAGGAGGTTTAGCTTTAATCAGTGATGCATCTGAAGCTATCATGGCAAGTCAGTCTACAGACTTGTCATTGATGGTAGAGAGCGGCTTCGACTATCTTCGACAGTTTGAACGGCTAAATGGAGCCAATTTGACGACTTTTGATCCTTCTGGACAAGGCGATTCGCCGGTTTACCGAATGCTGGGTCCGACGAACTTCCACTCTCCCTCAGAGGCTTTAATGAGGGATTTTTCAATGTACGGCACCTCGGTCATGCCGGCGATCTTGTATGACCCAGCGGTGGCGATGAATGTGAACCTAGAAGCTGCTGGTTTCAATCATGAATATGATGTTTATGGAGGGCAGCTTGAGAACTGTGAGATTGAGTGCAGGAAGCAGAAGGAGATGATGATGAGAGGTTTGGAAGAATATGGAACTCAGAAGAATGAAAAGCAAAGAAGAGAGAGGTTGGGAAAGAAGTTTGAGCTGCTCAAGTCCCTCATTCCAAACCCAACAAAGGTAATGTATCACTTATCTTCTTGCACTTTTAGGGTTTATAAAATATTTTTATGAAAAACATTAAGAGAATTTACATCAAATTTTATGATCGGTCGATCAAAACTTTTTTCTTTTAATATTTTTTTTTACTCAAAAAATTTATGAATATGGATTTTATTGTTTTAAATATGATTACTTAAATAATATAATTAATCAATAAATTTTAAATGCAATTATAACAAATAATGAATTTAATTGTTTTAAGTTTAAATGTGAATATTAGCTGTTGGAATTAGTTAGTTTTCACAATCAAATTTTAAATAATCAGATTTATTATTATTAAAATTTATACTTAACCAATGAATATTATAATTTTAGTAATATTTAAAATTGTGTTAATCAATTTGTAATTTGTACTATATATATATAATCAATGAAATGAAAAAATATCTATCGATTATAAGGAATTGGAGTAATTCTAAACCCTAAAAAAAAAAAAACTCGATCGGACGATATTCTGATAAAAAATTTTACTCAGATTAATGCTTAAAGTTTTATGTATTTTATAAGATAACTCCAAATATTTATTAAATGTTTTTGAGATTATCATAAAAAAAAATCATGTAAAATAGGGCACAACCACTAGCACAAAACATTTTCAAAAGAATCTTTACCTTTTCTCCAATTTAATTTGTTAATTTTCATATTGTACATAAACCAATTAATGATATAATTTGTTTTTATCATTAATTAATCTAACTTAATTTTAATATACCATCATCACAGCCTGATAGAGCCACCATCGTCGCAGACACGATTGATCACATTAAAGAACTACTGAGAACTGTAGATGAGCTGAAAATACTCGTCGGAAAGAAACGAAGCAAGAATGCGAGAAGCATTAAACTCGAAATACAGAACGACGTTCATTGCGATATGGAAAGCTCTTCGATAAAATCCAACATAGATGAAAGTGACCACGGACTAAATGGAAGCATGAGGAGCTCATGGATTCAAAGGAGATCAAAATCAACATTTATTGACGTTAGGATTATCGAAGATGAGGTCTACATCAAGCTGGAACAGCGTAAGCGTGTTGACTGCTTCTTAATCGTGTCTCGGGTTCTTGATGAATTACAACTTGAACTGCTGCACTTGTCTTGTGGAAACGTAGGAGATAACCATATCTTCATGATCAGCACTAAGGTAAAGAACTGGGCGAGAGTATTCATTTATGTTTGATTGTTTTTGCTTCAATTTGCTATGAAAGCTTTTTGTGTTTCTGCTGCAGACCAATTATGAAGGCTCCCCGGTATATGCGACTTCAGTGGCTAGGAGATTTATTGAAGCTATGGGTGGTTAGATTAGTTATAGACTTATTGCCTTAATTTGGCTTTTTAAAGGTTGTGGGCTTTATTGATATTTATAACGAAGTATATTTGAGAAGGAATATGTATTTGCTGCTTAGTGTCAGAGTACTTCTGAGGTACAAGTTTGGTAGAGTAGTTGAATTCAGAATGCTTTTACAGATTTTCTCCCAAAAATAGAATGGTTTTCCAGTAGTCTTTCTGACATTCAACATTAAAAACTGATCTGAGTTAGTTTCTTTGACTACTAATTTTATATATGACGTTTTTTTCTGAAGGTAAAGTGGTGGAAATTCTCCAGTTCAGTAGATTAAGGTTCAGGATTAGCTATCAGTTTAAAATAGTTCTTTTTTTCCGAGTGGAATTTTAATTATGTAAGTCAAATTGAGCTTTTTGGTTGGAATTTGGTTGGAATTTATAAGAAATTAGTAATCACGTTTTTCAAATATTAGTACAATAACAGTTCAAATATTTGCAAGATTTGATTTATTATGAATTTGTAGTGTTATAACTGGTTGAAGGCAATTTAAAGATATTTTGTTGTGAATTAAATTTTCATTAGTTTTCCTCGGGAAAGTAATCTTATCTCTAAGAGATTTGTGCAGTTTAGACCTCATTATTGATTCCAAGTCAGGGCCCGTTTGATTACTAATTAAATATAGAAAAATATCTTAAGATAATTTGATTTTTATCAAGATTTATAGAGCTCCAAACTCTAGCGTTGCAACGTTGTAGGATGGACTCAAAAACAGAGTAGAGCACTGTGACACTTTATACCTCAGAACTATCGTGTTACGAGTTAGCTGAGCAGTTTTTCTTCCTTTTTTTTTTCTTATTTCACTTGAAGGGTTATGCTCTTTGGTGTATTTAAAAATATATCTTTATCTATTCTTTGTGTAGAACAAAGAGAAAAGTGAAGAGAGGCAAGTAGAGAGTATGAGAACTGTTGCGTCCAGGAGTATTCGCGCGCGGCGGTAGAGAAATATAAAGTTATCGTCTTAGCATTGTACGAAAATCCTACACGCAATCAGATAAGGAGAGAGGGTCTAGCATTTATGAGACACAAAGATTTTTATGTGAAAAACCTCTGAAAAAGGGGGAAAACCACAGGGCCTAGCCCAGTTTGAACGAATCCACTAGTATTTGCAGTCGATTACAAATGAGGCCCTTCCTTGGGAGAAGGCCTTAGATTGATGTACATCTTATAGAGTACATTAAATGATGTAAATACAAATAGTTACTATTGACGTATTCGTTTTGTTGGAAGGACTGTAGTCGGCGGGCGACGGAAGTCAAGAGGACCGTAGTCAGCTAGCGACGGAGGTCGGAAGGACTGTAGTCAGCGGGCGATGTAAGTCAGGAGGACCGTAGTCGACAGGCGACGGATGTCGGAAAGACTGTAGTCGACAGGCGACGGATGTCTGAAAGACTGTAGTCGGTGGGTGACGGAAGTTAGGAGGACCGTAGTCGGTTGGCGACGGAGATCGGAAGACTGTAGTTTGACGACGAAGATCAGAAGGACAGCGTCAGGTAGAAGTCCAACAATGGAAAGAAATGCATCTTCGCATAGACGCCCAGCGAAGTCCGATAATCGGTAGAAGTCCGGCGTCGGGTAGAAACTTGGCGAAGAGTGAAGATCTGACGTCGGGTAGGAGTCTGACGTCTGTTGGTGGCAGAGGAGAGCTCCGGCTTCACTTGGGCGGAGTTTCGGCGTCAGGAGGGAAGTCTGTTGTAAATTGGGAAGAATTTCAGCATCACGTGGAAGTTATGCAGAATTCCCACGTTCTCCCGAATATCACGCAGAATCCCGGCATGTTCGGGAGGCAGAACGAACTCCGGTGGTGGTCGAGGAGGATATGATTCTCCTTTTCCTCTTTCTCCTCTTCTTCTCTTCTTCTTATCTCTCTTCACTTGAGTCCCCTTTGTGTAGAATGAGGGCTATATTTATAGTTTTTCTGGAGTGGTATAACTCGTAAATAGGTCTGAGATCATGGGCGAATAGGGAGTAGTTTGAATGGACAGCCGATATTGAACCCTTCGATCGTGCACCGTTCGTTGAACATTTGGAGGCCTTAATGATGTTGGAATTCGGCGATCTTGGGCTCGTTGGATTCGTCTCGTCGAGCCGCTCGATTCGAGTATAGGCTCGCGTTAAAATCGGAGACCTTTTGGTAACTCAAATTGCAGTTTGAACCTTCCAATAACACTTCGGGTCCTTGATTTGGATTCATTTGAACTCGGATTGAGTTGAATTTGGTGTCATTGGGTTTGTATTTCCGAGACGCTCAGTTTGACTATAAGCTTGCTGAAATCAGAGTTTGGGTGCTCCCAAAATTAATTTTTGAAGTTTCCAACTAGCTTTTGCCTTGAGATTCGTGCCCGATCAAGCTAATTTCATGATGACATATCAAGAACATATATTTGTACAATTTCTCCCAATTTTCATAGATAATTTCTTTATGTGGTGTAGCTTCTTGGTTTTTCCCGGTTTCAGAATTTTCATGTTAAATCATGGTGTTCTTTTTCATCATTTTATTTTTCTTATTTATTTCATTGCGTAGCTTTCTTCCTAACATTAAATTGGTGTAAACATTAAGTCTGATACATCATCAAAAAATCATTTTGATCGTGCACGAATCTTGAGGCAAAATAAAGTTGGAAACTTTAAAAATTAAAATTGAGACCATCCAAACTTTGATTTTTACAAACTTACGGTCGAACTGAGCGTCTCGGAAACACAAACCCAATGACACCAAAATCGACCCAATCCGAGCCCAAATGAGTTCAAATCAAAGACTCGAAGCACTTTTGGAAGGATATAACCACAATTTGATCTGATATTATAAGATCATTACTTGATAATTCCTATTTTAAAAAATATATATTAGTAGATGAAATGTGCTTTAAATTGTTGAAGAAATAAATTAATATTTGAGTTTACTATTTGGCAAACCATTCATGGAATTGTTCATTTATAAGATTATCAACATCTGAAGGTGTGAGATGTGTGTGTCAACTCTTCCTTTTCTCTCCATCTTTGAAACACTCCACATAAGATGTCAGATTGTCACAATGACGAAGGGCATAACTTTGAGCTTGGATTGTCGATTTATCATCTAGCAAAAATGAGGTAACATTCCAAAGAGGAACACCACCACTAGAAAACTTAAACATAAATACATAATATTAATTTATGTTGATTCTAGAATAGTGCACTTGCTTTGTCTATTTTCCTTCAAATATTATGAGCAAAAAATGTCTTCCTCGGTAATAAAAGCCGCTACAATTGACCCCTCAGAATGTGCTTTATTTCATACATAATCTTTTAAAACTAAGAAGAATATGTAATTAATAAGAAACATGTGTGAGATGGTTAGGAACATTTAATTAACCAATGGGAGAATAGCATGATTTACCTTTCAAATGGATATATCCATCGATATTAAACAGGTCTATCTAATTTAACTTCTTCTGTTAAGTATACAAGAAGATGAACCATGATTATTAAGAATGAGGGAAAGAATGATTTCTCCATCTGGCATAAAATCATTATGATATTATTTAGTAACATATCTAATTCATTTGGAACAATAACCTTCTCACAAATTGATTTCAGGAAACATGAAATATCTATAAGCATGTACATAATCTCATATGACGGTGCACATGATCTAAGGGCAATGGGGAAAATCTCTTCAAGAAGCACATAACAATCATGACTTTTGAGGCCAATGACTTTGCATTTAGCTATATTGACACATCGGGAGATATTTGATGCATATCCTTTTAGCATTTTCAAATTTTGCAAGACTTCACCAAAATTTTTGTTTATCTTTCTTTGACATAGTGAATGACGTTGGTGGAAAAATGTAGCTTGCATCTTCAAGCTTTACAGATGAAGTTATTTCCTTATTCCAGTTTCATGCTTGAAAATTATCTTTTGATTTGTCCAGGTCAAGCAAAGTAGCAATGAGTTATACTCCCAATAAGATAAGTCAAAGAGAATAAATTTCTTCTATCATACCCTGAGCACCTGAATGTTACAACCTCTTTTCAAACTAGATTTAGTAAATCAGCCAGTAGGAACCTGCATATTTCTTAACTTTGCTAGAATCTCAGTACCACTTTTACTTTTATGCTCCTTACAAACTTCTCCTGTGTTATCAAAATGTTGTTTCTAGCAACAAAAAACATGATTATCCGCCAGCCAATCACAATGACCCATATATGCAAATTTCTTGCTCTTCTATAACCATAGAGATTATGCAGTAGGATTAAAAATTACCTCTCATGTGCCTAAATGTAGTAGGATTTCGGAAAGACAAAAGGAAGAAGATAATACACTTAATTTTCTTAATAAACAAATGATCTGAACGGGCTACTGGCTCCTCCCACCTCATGTGGCTAACTCAAGAGCACAGTTATTTAACTACTTTAAAATCTTATTTTCCTTATGCATAATCCAATAATTAATGTTTTAACTTAATTAGTTTAAAATTTTGCCCTAAATAATAAGTAAATGAGTTAAAATTTCGAAGCGTGCGGCTCACGAAACAACATTATTCAACCGCGGACCGAGGCTGGTTTAAATATGGAAAAATGCTGTAATGTTGTTCGTCGAATCACTTCGGGGGGTAAAGGCGTGCAGGGTCTGTCCAGGTTCCGTCTCTCTTTGTCTCCCTCCTCTCCAACGAGGGAAGTCATAGCTATATGGAAGACTGCTGTGCTGTGTGCGCCGAAACCCTCGAGTGGGTCGCCTATGGATCATGCGGCCACCGCGAGCTCTGCTCAACCTGCGTTGTACGCCTCCGCTTTATTCTTGGCGACCGCCACTGCTGCATATGCAAAACGGATTGCCCCACCGTCTTCGTAACCAAGGTTAAATTAGAGTTCCCGGTTCTTGAATTCTTTTACATATCGGTTTTCTCTTTTTTGTTATGGTTCTTTGGTCGTTCAATTCTGCTTTGATCCCTCTGCTCTCTTTTTTTCTGCGGTTGGTTTTTGTGTATATTAGATTAGATATTAATCTGTTTTTTTATATAAAATTTTCTTAGTGGACGATGGATCATTCTTCTTTCCTGTGGGAAGGGCGTAGGGGGAATTTCCGTTTACTAGATTGGTTGCTCTATGTTTTACTTGGTTTACGTTACATGTCCATGGGATTGTTAGTTACTTATGCAATCATTATATCATTGATGCTAGTGTGAAACATGGCGCTGGGCAGCCTTTAATGGCTGATTCCTGCTTATGTGTAGAATACCTATTGGAGTATGCCTGGTTGAGATAAATCTTTTAGTCATTAGGTTTTTTTTTTTTTTCCGCTTTCCCTTATATCTTGGAGTCATAATTGATTTAGCTACACTTACCATTTTTTTTATTATGCATCGTAGATTTTATTCTTAGGATTATTGTGAATGGAGTAAATAAAATTGCATATGTTTGGCAGGCTTTGGGGAATTTCACGGAGGCAAAATCGGATTTTTCAGAATTCCCATCTGGTGTTAGTGAAGGCCAGCATGGTAAATACTGGTACCATGAGGTCTCTCAGGCATATTTTGATGATGTGGACCATTACAGAATCATAAGAGCAATGTGCAAGCTTTCTTGTAGTATTTGTGATAATAATGAATCTGGTCAAAAGAGTGATGGCAGTAACAGAAGGAACAAATTTCGGAGTATAGAGCAGTTGAAAGGTCATCTCTTCCATCAGCACAAGTTGTTCATGTGCAGCTTATGTCTGGAAGGTAGAAAGGTACATACTGTTTTTTTTTTCTTTTTATGCAATATCTTGTAATCCTAGAAGTCATCTGTCATGAGCTTAGAAGTCTATATAAATATTTCAATTATCTACTTGCTTTCTTTGACTTAAGGTCATCTCCAACCGAGAACTCTATTTTTCACGCCAAAATACCGCAAAAAGCAAAAATGGCGTGGTGCTGCTCCAATCCAACGCCATTTTTTTGCTTCTGCGCCAAGGTAACGACCCTTCTCCTTTCCCGCATTTTTCCGGTTGACAGAGAAAAATGGCGTGGGTCACTGTTCACCCGCAAGCCAATAGAGGATTTTTTGGCGTTCGGCTGGAGCGAAGGAATGACGCCAAACGCTGGTTTGGCGTTCGGTTGGAGATGCCCTAAATGTTGCACATGTTCCTCGTTTTCCTAACTCTCTCATGCAAGATAATGCTGCAATTGTGACCTATTATTGTGCATCAAATTTGTTGTAATAATGTCTTGATATTTAATAACGGTTGGAACTTTTCTCTCAATAAATTTTTTTATTTTTGGGAAATCTTAGTAAACTTTTCATCAAACCTGAGTATCTTTATGTTTGGATAAATAACAACCTCGGTGTCTTTTTTCAGGTAATGATATATTTTTTTTGTTTCCTGCTTATTTAATAGCCCTCCAAAGCCTCACAAATGCTAATAGCATATTTGTAGGTTTAGAATTATCTTTTCTTGGAGTAGATGTGATCTCATCTTAGCACAAATTAAAACGTGTAAATGCCCTAGCCTATTCAGATTCTTACAACTAAAATTTCAGCCAGATTTTAACTCCATTTGCTCTCTTGACTCAGTTAAACTCTGCTTGGTATTGAGTGCCTTTCACTGTCAAAGGGTTATGCCTTATTGTTGTACATGCTTTTTAACGGGGAATGCATAATACGGTACAAGGCTCCATTAGAGCGATAGCTTGTAACACATGGTATGACATGCCATTTTAAGTGCAAATCATAGAAATAGTAAAGCATCCATTAATAATTCAACAACATGAGAGAAAACATCTTTAAAATAATGTCAGAAACAATAATTTAAAGCATATATAAAAATTAAACTTCTAAAGTTTGATTAGATAAATTAATCATTCACCTTATCAATACTACCTATAAAAACCAAAATAATGTAAAAAAAGCTAACTAGGTTACATGAAACCTCTTTCTCAATGACATCAACAACACTAAAAATATATGACAAGAAACAACAACAATTGAACCAAAAAACTTGTATTTAATGCTAAAAAATTCAATATTCGAATCAAATCTAAGGAAAGCATGTGATTATGATTCTTGGTGGTCATATATATATATATATATATATACCACACAGGAAACTGATTTTAAGAGTTAAAAAAAAGCATGCCAAATGCAAAGTAAGCTGATAGTTAGACACGTGGGAAAAAAAAGAAAAAAAAAACAAGCACCATGTGACTATATGCTATGCCCATATGTATAACATGCATCTTGCACAACTGCATTTCCTCTGTTTTATCTACTATGATAGGAGTACGGTTGACATTCTTATTGGTTATGGGCCTTGTGACAATTATAAAAGGTTATTAGATTATATATGTATAGTTATCTTTACGTTTTCCCTTATGTCTGTCTATATACCAACCTTTTTTTCCATGATAGGATGAATTAGTGCTTCCTTCCTTGACTGTCATTAATAGAATTTGATATAATTTGTATACAACTTTTAAGTGCTGCTCATAATTATCAGAAAATGTTCCAACTAATTTATTACCTAGTTGGAAAAAAAAAAAAACTCCATGACTTGGTACAAGTGGGGTTTGTGCACCCCGTTTCCTCTGATAAGTAGGTGCACCACACTTGACATTACTATATCATATTTAATGAATCGAAAGTAAAGCACAATTTCAATTACATATAATTATGCACAAGGTCAATCATAGATATGGTGGGCACAATACTAGTTATTGATCAAATCCACAAAAAGAACTAGTAAATATATAGTTTATAGAAGGTTATTAGCCAAACTTGAAGTTGTGACCTCTTAAGAAATTGGGAGCATCATACTTGAGTTGGAGCTTTTTAGTAATTGGTTTACCATATCATGCAGTGCTTGTTGCAAGTAAATATTTCTCCTTGTAAAATTTGAGAATGGCTACTTTATGGATCACCCCCTCCCCCCCAAACCAATTAGTTTGTTGCCTTGCCCGGTTGCGCCTAGACTTTTTGCTAACCAGAATTGTAAGTAGCATCTTTGTAAACAAGTGCCATTTCTTGAAATAAGTTTTTTCTTACATTAAGAAATGCTTATGTTTGCTTATCAGGGACAGAAATTGCTTTAAACTAACAAGCTATTTTTGATGAAATAACTCGTATTGGTTATCCATTTTTAAACTTTGTAAGGCTTTGAAGGTGGGCCTCTAGCGATGGTCAGTTTGTATCTAGTCTATAGATGTTCAATGTTTGAGTCACAAAAACATCCTCTCTACCAATGAATGCATGGGCATAGTTTCTTACATTAACCCGTCCATAGTCTCTGCATTAGCATGAGCTCTTGGTACATTATCCTCTTCCTAGTTCTTGCATTAGCACGAGCTTCATGCACTAGTACACCATTTTTAAATATTTTAATAGTTTGTGTCATTATACCATGTTGAATAATGAATTTCTTACATTGTTTAAGGATTTATTTCTTCTTAATCATCTTATGATGTTTGACAGTTGAGCCCTTTTTTGTCAATCTCATTTTGCACTATTGGTGAAGGTCTTGGAGCCTGATTAAATATTCAAAATCAAATAGATTGTTTCTTACTTATTTATTTAAGTAAATTATTGCAATTAATATTTTAAAAGGTGTAGGCATAAGGTGATGCATTTTACTTTTTATGAGGGATAGAGTAAGCTCCATGAATTTTATATTTTTTAATATTTTATAAATTAAATATATAAGATTAAAATATTAAAACAACAACAACAAGCCTTTATCCCACTAAGTGGGGTTGGATACATGAATCCTTTTTCTTCATTGTATTCTATTAATGATCAAATTCTCTCTAAATCTAATAAAGAAATGTCATTTCTAATATTTCTAACCAAGTCTTATTAGGTCTACCTCTACCTTTCTTAACATAAGTCAAATCTAATACATCTACTTTTCTAATCGGGTCATCGGAAGGCTGCCATTTTATGTGACCAAACCATTTACGGAGACTCTCTCTAATCTTATCTTCCATTGGAGCTACTCCAACATTTTCACGTATATGCTCATTTTGTATCCTATCTCTATGAGTAACACCACTCATCCACCTGAGCATCCTCATCTCTGCACCACTTAAAAATATTATGTTTCTCTTTTAATGGCCAACATTATGCACCATAAAGCATTATAGGTCTCACTACCATCTTATAGAATTTGAGAGAGACTTTTCCAGCAAATAACACGCCTGATGCATTCATCCACTTCAACCATCCATCTTGAATTCTACTAATAATATCCCCATTTATTTCACCCTCATTTTGAACAATAGACCCAATATATCTAAAATGTGTGCTCTTATTAATAACTTGATTGCCCAAAGTCACAATCCCCTACTAGATCTATTATTACTAAATTTATACTTCATATATTCAGTTTTAGATCTACTCAAACGAAAACCTTTAGACTCTAAGGTTGACCTTCATAATTCAAGTTTACCTACAACTCCTTCTATAGTCTTCTTAAGAAGAAGAATATCATCAGCAAAAAACATACACTATGGCACAACCTCTTGCAAATGTCTAGTGAGACCATCCATGACTTAAGTAAAAATATATGGGCTTAAGGCTGATCCTTGATGTAATCCAACTGAAATAGGAAAATACTTGGTCGAACCACCTTGTGTTTGAACACAAGTAACAGATCATGCATACATATCCTTAATGACTTGAATATAAGTATTATTAACCTCTTTTTTATGTAGAACTCTCCACAACACTTCTCTTGAAACTCTCTCTAAATCAATAAAAATCATATGTGGATCCTCCTTATTTTATCTATACTTCTCCATCAAATATCTCAATAAATTTATAGCTTCCATAGTAAACATACATGGCATGAATCCAAATTGATTTTGAGAAACATTAGTGTCACACTGCAACGTATGCTTCATAACTTTCTCTCATAATTTTAAAGTATGACACATTAACTTAATTTATCTATAATTCGAAAAATCTTGTGCATCACCTTTATTCTTCAAAATAGGAATCAACACACTCATTCTCCACTCATCTGACATCTTTTTAGTCTTCAAAATAATATTAAAAAGTTTAGTAAGCCAATAAATTCTTTTATCTCCTAAGCATTTTCACACCTCTATTGGAATATCATTAGGTCCAACAGCTTTTTCACATTTCATTTTCTTCAAAGCCTCTTTAACTTCAATTTTAATAATATGTCGATAAACATAAAAGTATTTATTTTCATTTAAGGTGTTAAGGTCTCTAAAGTTAGTTGCATTCTCTCAATCTTTATTAAAAAGATAAACAAAATATCTCATCCATCTTTGTTGAATATCCTTTTCTAATAAAAGCATATTTTGATCATCATCCTTAATACACTTCACTTGAACTAAATTCTCCTATATCTTTATTTAGCTAACTTATACATATATCTTTCGCTCTTCTTAGTATCTATTTTATTAATAAATCATTAAAAACTAATATCTTTACATTGCAAATTACTTTCTTAGACTACTTACAGACTTCTTTACATCTTTCTCAATTATCAGAGTTTTTATAGCTAACTTAATTTTTATAACGAATCTTTTTATTTTTTATTATTTCTTACATATTTTGATTCTATCATCAACTATTTTTACTATTAGTAGTTTTTCCCTTTGATATTCCAAACATATATTTTGCAACATGCTTAATAACACTAGCTACTTTTTTCCTCCATAACATTAGCTTCTTCATGCACAGACAAAATCTTACTCTAAAAATATTTTTGTTAATATTCTTTAAATGCTCCTATTTAATCCTAGAACAGCAATTTGCTTTATTTTTTATTTTCTATCTCATTCTTCTCAAAGTTCAAAATTAATAAACGATGTTGGATACATAAATTTTCACTTAGAATAACTTTACAATCTTTGCAATCTAAACGATATATTTTTCTTATAAAAAAATAATCTATCTAAATTTATTATATCCATTCTTATAAGTGATAATATGCTTATCTATTTCTTAAATAAGGTATTACAATAACATAATCATAAACGAAAGAAAAATTTAATATGATCTTACCATTTTCATTAGTCGCTCCAAAGCCATAACCACCATGAATGCTTTTAAAATCATTTACCTCTTTGCCAACATGTCCATTTAAATCTCCTCCAATAAAACTATTTCTTCGAGAGATATCATTTGTATTAATTCTTCTAGGCTATTTTAAAATTTTAATTTTGAACACATATTCAAACTTACTTAAGAAGTATAAGCGCTTATAACATTTATAATCTTAATATTAACAATAATCTTTAAAGCTATAATTCTATCTTCAATTATATTAATTTTTATAACATTGTCTTTTAAACTCTTATATATAATCACACCTACACTATTTCTAATACGATTCCTACCAGAGTACCATAGTTTAAATCCTAAACTATTAATCTCCTTAGTCTTATCTCCAACTTATTTAGTTTCTTGAATACAAAGAATATTTATCTTCCTATGGATCATAATATATATTAATTCTATTAATTTGCCTATAAGGGAACATATATTCCAAGTTTTTATCATAATTTTAGTTTCATGGACTAGCTTCTTTGTCCAAATCCGTCCATGATGTGGGAACCATTGCCTATTTAACAGTGCACCCGTGCGCTAGCGTAGTAGCCTTTGCTCACTTGCCATTATATTCAATTCATACAACGTGTTGCTTTTAATGAATGTCCTAGCATTATTAAAAGATTCATGTCATGATTATTCGACAAGTTTTACGCTGGCTGTTAACTACTTAACGCAACCATCCACTTTTCTCATATAGGACTTGAGACCTGACAACTACAGTGTTATAAGATTAAAATATTAAAAATATAAAATAAATTTCACAGTTTATGACCATATGATTTTTTTTTTCAAAAGTCTGAATTTCTCAAACCAAATTAGATGTAAAAAAAAGGCGAAAACCAAAAAAGCATGACATTTAATTATGCACTTCTTAAGTTTTCATTCCTCAAGCTGCTCATCTTTCAAAACTTTTCTGATGAAGACATCCAAATTAAATGCACATGCAGGTTGAGATATTTCAATTTTAATTTCAAAAAGAAACATCAACTTATTTAATACATTTTTAACTATACATTTAAAAATAAAAGAATGAATAACATAGAGAAAAAATTAATTTTCAGAGTTTTAAACTATACCTTAAATTAATTAACTTGAGCAAGGTTAAGGCACTTTGATGTTCTTAAATTATATTTGTTATTTGTTATTTAAAATAAATTTGATTAATTTATATCATGGGGCTTGTCGCATCAATTGGGCGCAAAAGGCCTGCCTAATCTGCTTGGGGTGATGTTTCTACTTGTGGGGACATATTGCCTCAAAAGATGTATCCCTTGACTTCTCATAGGCAATTTTGCTTTGCCACTCCTTAGAGGCTAATCCTGGGCTAGCTCAAAGAACTCCTTTTAAAATACTTTTATATAATGTAGCAATGCTTTAAGCAGGAGGATGAGAAATGGCATGCATGTAGTTTGATGATTGGATTTGATTCTATTTTATTATAGGGGTCGTGAATTCTATCTGTTACTTATGGTGTAATATTTCTTTGTAGTTTTTTTTTTTTGGTGGTACCTATTACAAATTTATATTGTTTTTTACTGTGCAGGTATTTATTTCTGAGCAAAAGCTTTACAATAGATCACAGCTGAGACAACACATAAGCAGTGGTGATTCGGAGGTTGATGGAAATGAGAGTGAACGTGGCGGCTTTGCGGGGCATCCCGTATGTGAATTTTGTAGAAATCCTTTTTATGGGGATACTGAACTTTACATGCACATGTCTACCGAACATTACATATGCCACATCTGCCAAAGGTATGCCTGTATACATTGATAGTAAATGATAATTGGTGAAATTGCTATTGAAAGAGATAGTTCTAACATAGCTTTGGATATACAGGCAACACCCTGGTCAATATGATTACTATAGAAACTATGATGACTTGGAGGTATTGTAGTTCTCATCATGTTTCTTCAAAATTTTGTTATGATAGTATTTCACCATTTTTGGTCATGAAGAAATTCAAGCAACATTTACAAAAGAGAAGCCTTATTCTTTGGGCTTCCTTGCTTGAACTGCATGCGTTAAAGATGTAGTTATTTGTTTTTCTTCTTCATGCATTGTTGTGCTTCATTTTTTCTAGTTTTTTTTCCTTTTTCACTCATTATATTTCTTTCATGACAGGTGCATTTCCGCCAAGAGCATTTTCTATGTGAGCATGAAGCATGTTTGGCAAAGAAATTTGTTGTCTTTCAATCTGAAGCTGAGATGAAGGTGATTGAATACTAAATTTTTTAATTTGAATATAAAGTTCTACTCTAAGATGTGCATAAGATTTATAAGATGCCTTCGCCTCACAAATTTTTTTGAGGTGAGCTGAATTAATTTTTATTATACTTATTTATTTTTTTATATATTTATATATATATTTTTTTTGCAGAGGCACAATGCTATTGAGCATGGTGGTCATCTGTCTCGCTCCAAAAGGAATGCAGCTCTTCAGGTATTTTGGAGTTTCCTCTGAGTTCTTTTACTGTCCTCTTGGAAGTATATAATAACAATCGTTATGCAGATACCTGTTAGCTTCAGATATCGAGGGAGTGCTGCACAAAACCAAGGACGAGGAAGATGGCGTGGTTTTCATGCTGCACCAAGTCAATCAACTATCCATGGTGGTTTAGAGATGGCAGATGCGGATGGAAGGTTGTATGAGCCATCTTCTGGTAATGGTATAACAAATAGTGAACGTGGAGAAGCTAATCAATATGATATGATCGCAAGTTCTGTGGAATCACTAGCTATCAGTTCACACTCTGAAGAAATATCCTCAATGTCTGATGCAAACAACACCCAGAGTTATGGGAGTACGCCTGCTGCGGAAGAAATTTCCTTTCCTCCCATCTCTAATTTTGAGCCTCCTGAGCTATCATCTTCCAGGTACGTGCAGGTTCTTAATCAAGGGAGCTCTGCCAGACTTGGTGAAGCATCATTTCCTCCCCTTCCAGGAGTGAAGGACAGCGTTAAACCAATTATAGCACCTGTATCAGAGGGCTTAGCTGCAAATACTATTGCAGCTCGTCTTAAGCTTCATAACAAGGGTTCTGTGAAAGTTTTGCACTCTGCGCGACTGAAGGCATCACAAAATTATGCTCATGGTCCCTCCAGTTCAGTGACTTCTTTGGAGATGAGGCCACAGACAAGAAGCCATGGTCCTGCAACATCAACTTCAAATTCTATAACTGGGGATACAGCAAACCAGGTAGTTCCACCGATTAGTTCTGCAAGTCCTCAGGCTTCAACAACAAGAGGAAATGGCTTTGCGGCTTCTGCCTCTATTCCTATCAGTTCTGTATGGAATTCACGAAACTTGAACAGAGTGAGGCATTCTGCATCAGCTACTGCTCTAAGCACAACTAATCCTTCAAATACTCCTCTATCCAATAAGACTTCTTCCGCCACTTTAAACCAGGAATTACCCACTAGCATTGAATCCTTGCAACATGTGCAGAATGTTCAAACAGCAAACAAGTCTTTAGTAGAAAGTATTCGTGCTGGCCTGGGAATGGATGAGGAAAAATATGCTGCATTTAAAACCATTTCCACTGAATATCGCCAGGACAAAATAGACTCTTGGGAATATCTCTCTTATGTTGAGCAGTTTGGCCTTTCACATCTTGTTCTCGAATTGGCTCAGCTCTGCCCCGATTCACGGAAGCAGCAGCTGTTGATTGACGCTTACAATGCAAATCTATGCAATAATGGTCTGCAAGAAAACAACAGAGGTAAGACTGTTATATCAAATAAGGATGGGAAGAAACCAAAGGGAAAGGGCAAAGCTGTTGATCTTGTAATTACTCCTGCTAAAGATGCATTGGCTGATAACACTTTAGACCAGGAGGTAGGAGTTTTATCGAAAGATGGTTATAACAATGCAAAGGATCAAGATCTCTCTTCAGGCTCTATTATGATTGTAGATTATTCAAGTAGCGAAAGAAAAACTATTACCACTACGAACTCTGATGGTGAAGGTGGTAAGAAAAATCGCAAGATAAAGTTTCATAGATTACCTTTAGGCAATGGTAATGCGCATTGGAACCCTGAGAGAACCATTGAGGAACATTGTTCCAATGAAGGCGAGAGGTTACATGTACGAGGTGTTTGGCATAATGGCGGTGGAAAGAGACTTTTTTCTCAGAGCCATGCTTAAATTGATTCTTCTTTTCGGTAAACTTTTGGTCCTAATAGGCTGTGCAGTAATTTTGGTCTGAGAGCCTGCTCAAATCACAATGAGCCCAATTTGTGTATACAGAAGGGCCCAAGAAACTTAAATGAAGCGTTAGTGAAGCTTTTTGAGACTAAGTATTTGCCCGAGCCCAGAATTAGCTTGCGGTAATATATGGTTCTTGTATTTTTGAGACTTCGTATCTTTTATTTATATGTAATATTTGATTGCTGTCACACTCATTGCTCTTCCTAATTTATAAGAAGCAATGGACAGGGTGATATTTATTTAGGCTTTGTTTGAGTTAATTTAATTTTAATTGAAATATTTATTATAATGAAATGATAATTTTTTTTGAGAAATTAGATGAGAAATGATAGGAAATCCTTTGATATGTAGAGATTATATAAATTTTTTTAATTTTTTTTTTTATTAATTTTATATTTAAACTTTAAAATTATAATAGATTTTAAGTGCATTTTATTTTAATTATTATTAAATAAGTTGACTCATGAGCTAATAAGTTAAGTCAGTATTTGCTCAAATTTAACTCACCAGCTCATTAAATTTAGTTCACAATCCTGAGCTGGCTTATCTTACGCATCCCTAGCTGGAAGTGGTAGCGTGGAATCATGAGTTTGCTTGCATTACAAAATGTTGGAACAAGAGAATCAAAGACAACGAAGATATCACTGGGAGCGAAATAAACATAATAAGATAGGCTTGTTTTCTTCTTGAAACGAGCAGCTGTGGGATTCGAAATAATGATTCTATATAATGTTTTTTTGTTTTTGAAAAGATTAAATATATTTTATTTCAAATTAATTATATAAATAAACTAAATTAACATAAAGAAGTGATGCAACAAGCCCGCTAATTGCCAGTTGTTCTTGCTTATGCCCCTTGCGTTTTTCTTGCATGTCCTTTTCTTTTTTCTTCTTTTGTCTCCATTTGTCTTCTCGCCATCCGGTTCAAGTGCTATTTTATTTCTACTAATAAGTGAAATAAAATTCAATGTGGATATTATTTATTTCACTCGAAAAGACTATAAATTCTAATAAATATTACTTATTCTTCTTCTTAATTTACTCTATTTAAAATATTAGTAGAGATTCATTATTAAAATGAATTATGTTATGATTCATGGAGAATCAAATCGAACTTCCCGAAATAAATTTTGGTTTGATTCTATTCGAGATGGATAAAAGTTCGGATGATTTGATTTTCTAAATTTGAAATCAATTGGTTCTGTTTTTTTTTTTTTGGACATTTAGGCCATTTAAGGCAAACTCACACACACAACACATACACAAATACTCGAACCCAAGACTTCTTAGTTGAAATCATAAGCTTTCAACCAACAGGTCAAGGTGAGCAGTGTCAATTGATTTTGTTAATCTGCAAACCTAACGCATCAGAGTTGGCCAAATGCAGAACTCCTAGGGAATGATGAGAAGTCAAATCGATATATCATTTTTTTGATATCCCAAGAAGTCATGAATCTTACTCTATTCAATTAGTTTAAATAGTTATCCTAATCTAACAGAAATACCCTTTTGCAAGTTTGGATTTTTTCATACAAATAGACTTTATAAATCGGGAGTATATACTTTTCATGAGGCTAATTTTAGGCCGACGACTCAATCTAATAAACTGATTTGTGCCAATTGTACTAAAAAGTTGATTTATCCATTAAGAAAATTATCCCAAATGAAGTCTTAGATACATCAAATAAAATTAAAAGATTGAATGATTTTAGAGAATAAAAAATAAAGTAAAACGTTATTCTTGTTTTAGATGAGTGCATTTCAAGAATATTAATAAAAATATTTTTGAGAGTAAAATACTATATCTTAAGATTTTGTCTATGCATGAGAAAGCTAATGTTGCAAAAGATGTGCTTGGTGTATCAAAGAGAAAGCTCATAATAGTAAAAAAATAGTTGATCATTGAATCAAAATGTGTAATAAAAGATAAAATATAAGAAAATTTGTTATAAAAATTGATTTAGATGTAAAAATTCTGATAATTGGGAAAGATATAAAATGCCCATAAGAATTCTAAAAAAGTAATATGCGATGCAAATATTTCAGCCTTTAATGATTTATTTAATGTATTAGAAACTAAGGAGAACTAAAGATATATGTATAAGTTAGTCAAACATAGAGATAAGAGTATTAAGAATTTAGTTCAAATGAAGTGTATTAAGGATGGAGATTAAAAAGTGCTTTATTAGAAGAGGATATTCACCAAATGTGGATGAGATATTTTTATAAACTCTTTAATGAATATTATGAGAATGCGATTGACTTTAGTGACCTTAGCACTCTAAATGAAAATAAAGATTTTTATTCTTACTGACATATTAATAAAATTGAAGTTAGAGAGATCTTAAAGAAAATAAAGATTTTTATTCTTATCGAGGTATTAATAAAATTGAAGTTAAACTAAAGTTAAACATAAATTCTTATGAATTTTTTTGTTTAAAAGAAGATTGCTCAAATTAGTATTAATGAGCATTGATAGATTCATATGTAACTATTTGAGCTTCCATTCAATGAATCAAATTACTGTATGAATGTACAATCTCTTGCATCAATGATTAGTATAACAGTCCAAGTCGAAGGCCTAAAAGAAAAACACATCTTAATAATTCAGAATTTACTGTTGGAATTTGGCATGCTTTAGAAGAATTTTTTTTAAATTACTCCTTTAATATTTCTCCCTCATTTTAATGAATCCCAAAAAGATGAGAGGACACTTTGATAATTCTTCGATTAGTGATGAATTGTTCAATAAAAAGTTTGACAATGTGAGTGAAGTTGTGAATAGTATTTCTTGAGAGCGAGTAAAATTAAGTGTGATCTTAACCCTTGAGAGTAGTAGGGAAGACCTGACAAAGAAGTTTATTAGAAGCTTGCAAGATATGCATGATGGTCCTAAAATGATCAATATGTTTGTAGGGATCAAAGGATCCATCATATTGATCAATAGTAGATAGCTTGAATCCCACTCTAATAGGATGTCGAAGAATTTCATTTGTTAAGGGTGAGGACTCTTGGAAGCTATTTGGATGAGTAAATTGATTTCATTCCATCAAAAGGAAATTCCTTCAAAATAAGATATCTATATCTTTTATACTATCCCAAGGGACATCAATAAAATGATGTTGATTTAAGTTCTCCACAAACTAGTGGTGGATTATGGGTTGGTCAAACAATATGTGGAGGATGTGATGAACTAGTTGTATTTAAGAGAACATAATAAGCTTGTGGGGAAAGAGGTTCTTCTTGATTGACGTTGTCTCCAAACTATTGTTAATATTGCAGAGAAAGAACTTCATCATATTGTGATGGTACCTTTTGTTATCCATCCTTTTCCAATAATTGAAGGATTTGATTTTGAACTTCCTCCATCCAACTTATATGATTATCTAAAGTGAGGCTTGGGGGAACTTGTTCACCATTATTTTGTTTCTCTTGATTGAGGGGTTGATTTTTATCCATTGATGAAGTATGTTAAGAATGCTACCCCATAGATTTCGCCAAACTGTTGCGTGATAAAAATTTGAATCGGTGGAGTGCATATTTCATATTTTAGTAATGTACAATGAATCAATACGAAAAGATTAAAAAAAAAAACAAGTCCAAGAAAAAACCACGTGGTCTGATCAAGTTGTAAAATCCACTATATAGCAAGTGATGCAAAAATTCTCCTTTCTTCACTATTCAAGAAGAGGGAGTCTATAGAAAATCAAATATGACAGTTAATATTCAACAATAGGATCTGATTTCTTCAATTGGGATCGTAGATGTCTACATATGGACTTTTATACCTAACAACAGGGTCTAATTTCCCCAATAGGGATTACGGATATCCACAGGTGAACTTTTTTACTCAACGGTAGGGTTAAATCTTATTAATACTCTATATTTGATAGATATTTATGATATTAATCCTCAGTAACAATGGTGGTTGTTGGTGGCATCAACTGGTGGCCATCGGCACTAGCAATAGTTGAAAAATGCTAGAGAGCACTCTCTTTTTCTCTCCTTTTTCCCCCTCATGTGAAGAACGTTGGTCTTTTTATAAATTTTTAAGAGTGATATGCTCAGTTAATATGAGAAAGGTCTACGGTAAATTTGGAGTGTTATATTGGACGGCTCATAGTGATTCTCTTGATCATAGAGCTTTCATCAAGCATTTAAGTGTTTTAAATGATGTCAGAATTAAGTGATATTAGGCTCATTAGATTCATTTTGCCGAGCCGCTTGATTTAACTATAAGCATTTCATATTTGGAGGTTATCTAATTACTCAATTAATGCAATGGTACTTCCAAATAAGCTTCAGTATCTTGATTCAATCTCATTTTAACTCAGATTAGAATGATTTTGATGCCACCGAGTTTATCTTATCGAGACATCTAGTTTGACTATAAGTTTGTTGTGATCGGCGTTTATATGTTCCAAAATTTAATAATGAAAATTTTTAATTCAAATATGCATCGAGATTTGTGCCTGATCAAGGTCGTTTTTGATGACGTATCAATAGTCATAATTAGGCCAATCATGTGGTCATAGGGTATTTGTGAATTGTCTTATCTTGATTAGTGTTGATTTTTAAATTAAATTTATTTGATTATATTGATACAACTTTATTTTTTGTGCGATGTAGTTCTGAATGCATATAATAACTTTTTTTTTTCTTTGGTGGTCAAGCCATCAAGCTATAGTCATGCGGCTCAACTCCATCATCATAATGGATGAGTGAACGAATCAGGCCATTACAAACATCCATAATCATGAAATTAATGCTTTAATGCAACAAAAATAAATAAATCATGAGCCTAAATAATCATAGGAGGCTTTTAGTATTATGTAATCATGCTATTACATACTATAAGTTGTGCGGGAAAAACATGCCTTCTAAGTTTATTAACGTGAACTGAATAATTTACCATTTGCATTGAGCTCACATATTAAATATCTTATATTTCTCTGATCAATAGTTCATATATAATCATACTATCAATTACTATAAATTATAAATTAAATTAATCTATATTTTTCATCAATATCTCATGCTTATTTATACATTTATCTTGCTCTTTTAAATAAAAAATCACATCTAGCTATTCTTGTGCTTACTTAGCAGTCTGATCCTCCATCTTCCCAACCGGACCATTTGGGAACTTGAAACATCGTCTCAAGAAGGCGAAAGCCTAAGATGAAAGCCAATCTTATTACCATCACCTTCAAAGGACATGAAATGAGACGCCCCTTTCCAACGTCAATTGTTTCCATCCCAAACCCTATTGTCTTCACTGCAAAAAAATCTCAACAACAAGATATATCCAACAATAGCTTGATTATCTCGAAACAAAGATCTAGAGTATCTCATGGTCACCTTCAGAAAGAACTGTAACAACTTGGGCTTGTCACCAATGCCCCAAGGAAAAGGAAAAAAACAGCTTATGAGATCTTGGGCGAGGATTTGGGTCCCTCAAATGATCAATGTTGAGGTCTTCCTAGGTGTATCGTTCTGATTGCCACACACCTTGTTGGTGTCATCTACAATACCATGACAAATCTCTTATTTTCATATCAGAGGCTTTTTTTTTTCTTTGCTTGTCTTTTTTAGTTATTCTTTCTCTAGTTTTCTTTATCTGCCTGATCTTTTGTGCTGAGGCCTAATAGATTTTTAACCAATTTGTACTTTTTTGCTTTAGTGGAATATCTTAACTTTGGGTTGGGGTGATGGGAAATCACAATTTTCAAATAATGCTTTGAATTAATTACTGCTAAAAGTATATTACACAGATTTAGGCCTATTGTTAATAAGAACTTTATCCAATGTTCTCATCGAGCATTTTTCCCGAAATGTATTGACATATGTAGCTATCACATGTTTTTCGTCAGAACTTGATAAGCAGACGTCTCACCAAACCCAAACAGAAAATCCAAAACATTGCTCATATAGCAACTGCCAAGCATCTTCTCCGCATATATAAAGGGAATGATGAATGGGACAGAAAACTAATCAAATTGTTTGCAAAAAAATTATGTAAGAACTTGATTCTATGGTTAACAAAGGAAGTCAAATGAGTGAAAACAACATCAATTTTCATACTAAAATGTTCAAACAAAGACAAAAGAAACTCAATAAAAATAATCTCTTCGTATTAATACTACAAATTTGTTGCAGAATAGATAGAGAAGGAAAGCAGGAGTTAGAAAAGTCATCAAAGATTTTTGAAGGTCCGCATACCTTCTAAATCTGCTTTACAATAGGCACCGAGGGCTATGGAAAGCTTCAAATAAAAAAAAAATTCAAGAGAAAAGTTCACATGGCCAGCTAATGCCGCAGACTTGTCATTCTTTCTGAAATCTTTTAGTCGAGCAGGATAGTTTTGATGATCTTTCCAACACATTACAGACCTAGGAAAGGACACTGCTTTCTGGCGTGTTCCGGAATGAGTTTCAGTAGCATCTCCACGGGAACTCCCTTCAACTCATGAGGCTTAAAATTAAAGAGAGGTGGAAGGAACCTTCCATTTGGTAAGCGGGTGTTTGGATCTCGAAGCTCATCAAAGAAAGGGTGGATTAATGCTTCAAACTGCAGCAGTGAAAAACCTCAGTAACCAATAATTGAAAGGTTTGTAATAATTACAATGAAGAACTCACCGCCGTGCAGCGAAGGTTTGGGGAGTACTGGAGAAGCCTAGAAACAAGATCTACAGCTTCAGGTGGCATTCTTTTGTAGAAAATCTAAATCATTAAACATGTCACCATAATAAGAATTCATAATAGTTTAATAGATAAAAAGACCTAAGTTTTAGGGATAATAAGGGATAACAAAAGCTATCGTACTTTATGCCACGGATGAGCTTTGATCTGAGGAAACTTGAATTCAGTATAATTTGGATTCATGCATTTGATTTCTTCTCTAGTTGGGGTGCCTAGAATCTGGAAACAAGATAATATGAAGAATTGCACAGAGATTAAGCTGGTTGCGTTAAGCAATGTAAGAGAATTTAGCGAAGTAATGGTTACCTTTATTATTTCAACTAGTTGGTCTACTCCACTCTCTCCAGGGAAGAGAGGCTGCAAATATATATATAGATCAGCTTAATTATATTTAAGCATTACATTAGTAAAAATCTGGTTATTCAAATTGGATGAAGACTGCACCTGCCCTAATAGAAGCTCAGCAAGAACGCAGCCAGCAGACCAGATGTCAATTGCTGAGGTGTACTCAGTTGCACCAAATATCAGCTCAGGAGCTCTGTAATATCTGGAGCATATATAAGATATATTCGGCTCTCCTTTCACCTGTTAGGAACAAATCAATAAACATATAAAAAAATTTTCACCCCAAAAAATATATATATATCTCAAGGACATTCAGACATACCAGGACTTTTGCACTTCCGAAATCACATAATTTTAGTTGATGTGTATGTGGATTAACCTGTTATAGAAATCAGAGCTTCTGTTTAAAATATGAGGTAAACATAAAAAACTACTACAATTAACATATTCATGCATTTTTATAAGAATAATTTTTCAACAATTAGGATCTCCGTTCTCAAAACATGCATCAAATAATGCACAAGCAACATAATGGTGATCAAGAGTGAACGTACCAAAAGATTTTGTGGCTTGATGTCTCTATGGCAAACCCCTATACTGCCATGGATATAAGCTAATGCTCTACAGATCTGAAAAATATCAATATAGAATTTATAAAAAGTGAGAATTGCAGCCAGGAGCTGTGAAAATCCTGAATTGAATTGCATGTCCACAGAAAGCCCTTTCACAAAAAGGGGAAGATTCATATTAAAACAGAAACTGTCAATCAAACAATTTCTGAAGAACTACCAGTCAGAAGAAGTAGAAAAAAAATACAATCTATAGCAATATAAAATTTAAATGACATTGTACTCATACATAGAAATGGGTGTCATTAATCAACATGTGCAGTCAACCACAAGATACATAAGAGTATGTAGGTCCATTCACAATTGCAACCAACATTAAGTAGTAGCCTGGTCCCATGCAGTCAGTTTAAATGGACCGTGGGGCAGAACATTAGTGCAAAGCAAGTGCTTCAACATGGTTGCAGTCAATATACACAAGCAAGTAGAGACAAAAGGCAACTCTAATGCAAACCCAGATCTATGCATTCCAACAAAACCGACATTTATCTTGCATTAATTTCTCGTATATTTTGCATCCCATCCATAATATCAAGGGATTCCAGAAAAAAATTCAAATAAAAAATAGATGATTCATAAGCTAAACTTTTAGGAAAAGATACATTCTATGATTTAAAACATTTTATATAGGAACCAAATCAAGATCAAAATTGAACAGAATTTTATTTTCGTTATCTTTAATTCATAAAATAGTTATTTTACAGTCAGAAACAATAACTGAGATCCAGCAAAAAAAAAAAAAATAATCCAGTAAGTATCAAACTGTAGCAATAGTTAGCAATCATTTGAAAAGGAACATAAACACAAATTAGGACGGTCTTGCCATGTTTTCCTTTCATTTCCTCAAAACGATAATAAAAAAAATAAAGTTTCAAACATAATCAATGCAAGGTAATTAAGAATAATAGAGGATTATTACCTGGTATGTATAAAGCTTCACATATATTAGCGGCATTCTTTGGTTCATCTTGTTATAGTGCTTGATTACTCGATGAACCGTCTCTGGCACATACTCAAGTACAAGGTTAAGATATAGTTCATCCTTCTCGGTAGTTGAAAAGAAGCAGTGCTTCAGACAGACCACATTTGGATGGTCAAGAAGACGCATGGTTTGCAGCTCACGGTTCTTATATCTTTTGTCCTGAAGAACCTTCTTTATTGCAACTGTTTCACCAGTCTCCAAGCATTTTGCCTGTGCAATGTGAAAAATGAAGTTAATAAACACCAAGTAGGTCCCAGGGTCAGCAATGAAAGTTAAGATGAGAAATGGATAATATGCATTAATATATTCCGTTCATAGAAGGATGATAAAGATAAGTCAACAACAAAAGAAAATTTTCGGGTGCTTGCTGAGCAGTGAGCACTGTATAAGGGAGAGGGGGGAGAAAAAAGTACAGGAGGTATTTTACTCTCTTCTTTCACACAATACTCAGGAGCACCAAATACTTTCCCGTACAACAAAGTAAATAAGTAGACTAACCTGAAAAACTATTCCAAAGGATCCATTCCCCACAACACGCTCAGCCATATAGCTTATAGTCTTCAAAAAAGAACAAAATAAGAGTATCAGTTTAAGAAGAAGATGGCATACAAAATTGAGCTGGTATACAAACAAGATGGTTAGCAAATTTGTGCTGAAGAACCAAAAATCATCATCATTAGCCTTATTTCAACTAATCAGGGTAAACTATCACATAATTTTATCTAAGAAAAAAATAATTAGGTGGTTTTCATCAATAATAGCCAAAGAAATTACCTGCTTTGGCTGGCCATTCCTACCACCAATAGTTGTCACAATTATATGTCCCGTTTCAGTACCATTTCCATCAACGATGGTTGCTTCAACTTCCTGCATCATGAATCATATTAGTATTGGAGCTTGCTAGTAGTAGTCAATTACCATAGTAATATTCCGCTCCCACATTCAGATTTTTTGGTACCTTATCATCCCTTATCCTCAAGTCATTTATCTCTTCAGGCAATTTATCCATGCCAAAAGTATTACCACCGGTATTTTTCATTCCTGATGATGGCGCCATACTAACAGAAGCCATCCTTGATAAAAAGTTACTTATGAGAAACGAACTTCAATGGATTGCACAGTCCTTTTCCAATTAGAAGCCTTCGTATGTACCTATCGGACAACAATGTAAGGTAAATACAGATATTTATTTTTTCCTTTCTTTTAAAAAAGCATGCGTAGATGAGCCAGTAAAAGGCTTATTTCCTATGAATAATGATGTGCAGATAACCAATAGTAGAAATTACATATTTCACTAGAAAAAACAAAGCATGAAATGCACCGATATTTGTTCTTTGGGGTTGAGGAACCAATACATGGCTTCATATCTAATTCAGAAGTTGAACCCCTACTCAACAATTAATAGCAGAAAAATATAAACCAACATGATCCGTTCTCACTTAAGAATAGCGCTGATCAAAGGTAAAAACCTTCATCTCAATCATGCTAATAACAGCATTCATTAAAAGATATAAAAAATCTAGCTAAAAACTCCATTAAACTTACTGCGTTTTCTTCGAAGGATAAAAAACCACGAAGGCAAAATAGCAATTATCAAGTAGGAGATTCCCGGTTTATCACACACTAGAAATATAAAAACCAACATAATGCAAGAGAAAAGTTCCCGCAACCAGCATCCTATTCTCTATTTTCAAACGAATAAATCTTAAACATTTCTTATGTAAAATTGGAGAAAAATAACTCTGCTTATCTTTCAAAATACAACAAATAAGAAGAGGGTTACTTGCCTTATGGTATAGATCTAGCAGAGATAACAAAAGAGACATCCACGCAGTAATACGAAAACCAATTTCTCAAGTCAGGAACACAAAGATACGTCATCGTAAAATCTGGAGTTCCAAAAGCAAGAAATCTAGCACAGAGATCAAGACACCACTCATCTTTATGTTTATAAACACCTCTACTGTAACCGAGCATTCAACAACAGAGCCGGCTTACAACCCATATCAACTCAAAATCAACCAAAGGAAGTTAAACTAAAAGGTAAAGTTGACGAAAGATGAAAAAGAGAAATCCACAAACTCCCACCTACTAACATACAGAAGCCCGATTTGAATCACATGAATGCATAATATTAGCAAAAACACCTCCAAACCACAACACTGAAGAAAAAAAAACAGATCCTTACAAATTCAGGCTTCTGCTTCGACTTGAACCGCAAAAATTCTATACCACAACGAGATCCAGATCTCAATCCCAGTCCAGATTAGGATTCCTCCTCGCAGCTTCAGGGCTTCTCCTCCAAAAGAACCCGATGAGCGTTGGATCCAAAACTACACCACGCGGTCTTTTCCTTTCTCTCTCGGGGTCGGTGACAGTCAAAGAAGGCGAAGAAAGAATACTCTGTAGGCTTCCCGTCCTGAACTTCTATCATTGCTCCCTCTTTTGACCGTTCAAACGTCTCTTGCTATTCATTGCTCATGCCATCTGCGCCCACACACCCCCTTTCCTGTGGACTTCCTCATATCCTTCAGAAAAGACCAGCAAACATAACCGTAAATTTTAATAATACGAAGAATTCAAAAAAAAAAAAAAACCTTTAATTTTATAAAAATAAAAAATATTAATAAACATTATTATAGAATAAAAAATAAAAATAAATTATAATTAAATTATAATTGAAATATTACGAACAAAATTTTCTCATGAATTAATTTTATAATATTTTTGATGATATAAATAAATACTTGAATTTATTAGATTTTTGTGCTATGCAAATAATTTTTCTGAAAAAATTTAATATATTTCAGATAGACCTAAATAAAATTTTAACAGTTATATATTTCAAAATTATTAATGTATTAAAATAAATTATATTTATGAATTAGAAATAATCATTTTTATTTTAAATATTTATTATATATTGATTGTTTAATGATTTCTACCCAAAGTTAGTTTTTATTTATATATATATTTTATAACTTATACAAAATGCACTTAATACGATACTTTTGCTAGATTGTGTAATGTATAAATATACTTAATTTCTTAAGCCATTATTTACTACATCGATAATCAGTAAACAATTAATGCGTGATTGGATATGCTTTCTATGTTTTATAATATAATTTTACAAAAAAAAATGGAGAAGTTTTGAATTTTTTGCTTGGATGTTAGATATATAAAGCTGATCTGTCAAAAAAAATCAATGTTGGGCATGAATCTCGATGCACATTTGAATTGAAAACTTTCAAAATTAAATTTAGAATTTTTTGGAATCTAATTTCTGCGAAGTTATAGTTGAATTAAACATCTCAACAACGAGATGAACCCAACAAAATCAAAATTGATCAAATATGAGCCTAATTAGGCCCAAATTAAAGATGTGAAACATAGTTGTAAACTTTAACGTTTAGTTGAATAGCCAAATAATTTTCAAATTTTGCATGCTTATAATCAAATTGAGCGGCTCGGCGAAACAAATCCAATAAGCTCAAGATCGCTTGATTTTCAATATCATATAGGCACCTAAATGTTGAGGAAATGGTTTATGATTGAGGGAAACAATGTGATGTGGAACATCATAGTCATAGCGTACTTAAGGAATAAGTTATCTAGTTTGTTACAAGTGTTGTCTATTTTCTAGAATCTTCTAGGTGTCTCTAGGTTTTTACTTGATTATTATATATAGATTGTAAAAGATGAATGAAGGATATGATGAATATTATATGAATGGAAGCTTAGTGCTTGGTTTTCTCTCTTGTTCTTGAAAAATCCTTCATGCATCCTCTTCTTCCAACGATCCAACGGCGATCCCCCACATCAGTTGGTATCAGAGCCCGGAGCTTGTGAAGAACGATGGACAGCAGAAGGTGGGCTATCGACGATGATCGAAGCCGAAGAAAATGGGTGGTCGACGAAGATCGATGCCGAATAAGATGGGCGGCTGACGAAGATTGCCGTCGAAGGAGATGGGCGGTCGACGACGAAGAAAATGACTATCCTCCGCTCCAACTTCTACTCCAATGGCGAGATTCGCCGCCCCACTATCCTCACTAAGATAGCCACCAAAGAAGAAGGACTGTCAACCGTGATCGACGCCGCGAAGCCCTTTGAATGGCTCGAGTGGAAGCATCACTTGATCGGATTGATGCCTTATTTATCAATTTCAATTATTCTTTAGAACAAGTTTGCACATCGGTAAATGAACAATCTTCGACCATCTACTCACTGTGCAGCTCGATTTTGCTCTCGTACCGACGGCCCAAGTAGATCCACAGCTTGATGTCAATTCCGACTCCGTCCCTAATATTAACATCATTGAGGGAGGGCGAGTTGCTAGACATCCTCCAACCCTCCAGCACGATTCGGGCCCCAACACCACTCCACTCCCGCTTCCGCTCCCGCTCCTGCTCCTGCTCCGTTCCTGTGGCTCCAAACTCACCCCCACGTCGGTTCGGACTACACCCTTTCTCTATAGGCTGCTTGACATGACTGTGGAAGTGAGCCTGGAGCAAACCCAAATGGTTGAATACCCTGTGAAGAGAGGAGCTCGTGAAGTTGGAGGAGATTGTTCCAAGAAAGTGAGGGAGAGAGGTTTAAGAAATACATTAAAAAAAATTTTTTAAGGCTCGTCAAATTCAAAGAATAGATCATGAGCTATTGTGATGAATTTTTCTTGGAAGTTTCCACGGTAGACCTTTCTAATCCTTATTATTATGAGATAGTTCACTCCTATACTAATCTTGTTCATCAAATAGATGCACAAAGTATTGTTGAAAAGGCCATTAGTGTGAATTAAAAGAACTTTGAACAATCTTGAAATAAAAGAAAAAAAATCATAATAAAGAATTGACCAGCCTCCCTAATACAGAAAAGATAGTGAAGAGGCTAGAGAAACCCTTCCCACTAAATTAAATAGTCTCGGCAGCAGTACATCAAATGCTAACATTTTGATATAAATCCAAAATTTTGAACACCTCGGATGGTTGAAGCCAATAAAAAACTAAAATTGGGAGACCAATCCCAATACTGTAAGCATTTGATAGAAAAACATTTTTATCTAAAATAAATTGAAAGTTTAACTTGCTAAAAACACTTAGTCCACTATTTATAAGATTAGTGTATTAGTTCTTAGATTGATGATAAGGGAGACTTCAAGATTATTAAAAAAAAAAATCATAACCATTGCTATTATATGAATACTAACATAACATATCTATCCATGTACACAAGAAAATGTGCCCAAGAATAATTAAAAAACATTTGACTAGCTAGATTTTTAAAGGAATATATTATCCATATTGTGATTTTCTCATCATATATACTAAAATTGAGACATCTACCATTGATAATATAAATGTTAACCCAATGAGCTTGAGTTTGCATTTAACATTTTGATGACCAAAATATAATTTGGAATGAACTAATGTTACTGAATGAGATTAGTACATGTATGAGTGTTGCGAGGGAAAATGTTGATGATATGATAGTATTCACATTGTGTAAGAGATTATCTAAGAAGAGATAAGAAAAGCGGTCAAATGTGTGACTGTGGGTTACTTTATCTTTGTAAGATTAATTATAATTGGGGACACCTCCAAGAGCAAATTTTGATAAATAAGTATAAAAAAGAGGCCATATATTCAAGATCAAGTCAAGTTAAATTAAGAGAATGTGAGTTACTTTATCTCTATAAGATTAATTACAAATGGCGACGTCTCCAAGAGCAACTTTTGATAAATTACAATTGGGGACACCTCCGTAATATACATTTTCATGACTTGTTTAGATTGATTATCAAAGGAAAGAGAATGCTTAAAAATTTATTGTTTTGATAGTACATTCCATGTTTAAAGATAGACCAATCTACAAGATAGAGAATGAGTTATCAAGACTAAGCAAGATGATCATCTATTTAAATAAAAAATCTATATTGACAGAGTCATTGAATCATAAAAAATGCAAGAAAAGAATATAATGGGTCCAAGAGAGGAATGGGTGAGGAATGAGAAATCCAAAAAATTGTAAAATAATATTGGTTAGGATTGCATAGGTCTATCATCTATAAGCTATCAAAGTTTGAAATAATTTAACTAAGAAGGTAGTTGACCCAACCCAATCATGAAATGCTTTATAAATAACCATGAATTACATCATCCAGAGTTAGTCTCATGATCTAAAACTGAGAAACAAAAATAATTTTAAGACATATAAATTTAAAAGGTAAAATTGTAAAGATCCATGATTTATAATCTCTAGTGATATAAAGAATAACTTCTGATATAAAAAATAAAATAGCCCATTATATTTAACCATTGCCAAAGTTAAAATCTTATATGGGATAGGATTATTGCTACCCAATGTACTAAGATGACCCTATGTGTATTAAAAATCCATTCTTATATAAGAGCTATATTTTAAAGATTATTGTATGCAATGCAAAGTAATATATCCTTAAATTAGGAAGCCACTTCTACTATACATTTTTGATTGGTTATACTATGAATATGCACCAATGCTTAAGGGTTTTGATCACTAGCTAGCTTGATCTTATATCTTGTTAAGGAGACCTAAAGAGAGCATATGCTATTTAACAAGATATTTGAAAGAGCCTTCATTTTTAAGTAAAAATATTTTTCTAAATGGATTTTTAAGTTATTTATTGCTTTATTAAAATTAAGAGAAATTTTTTTATCTTAAGAGCCTATTGCAGTTTTATTTACATCCCATATAGACACATAGTACTAATAAAGGGGTTATTTGGTTGGAGAGAAAAATGAATGTAGTGTAAAAGAAATGTATTATTTTTTTACTTTTTGATGTTTGGTTGAATATAATGTAATGTAAAGTAAAATCTTAATGTATTAAAAACTCTCCAAGTTCGACTTTGTGTGCTTCATGTGAGGTAGACTTTTGAAAGAGTTGCTAAAAAGCTCCTTCGCCTCCGTCAATGATGTTATGTCTCTGTTGGATAGCTTTTCTGCACCTCCTTGCATGCGAACATAATCAAAATGTAAGGCCTAGCTTCCTGACTTCAATTCCTTAGCTCCAACGGGATACAATCGGGGTGCCGAGGATCGCAACCAGAGTAGTTTGGGAGATGCTATGGATGCTAATGAAGATGATTATGATGAAGATGTAGCCAAGATATAATAGCCTGCAGCTTGTGAAGAGCATAAATTGGATGGTTTGGCCATGGCTTGCCGAGTTTTGGAGCAAACAATTCATAAACAAAGTTTGTGACACCAACCTGATAGTACCGTGTGTGGATGTTGAACTGTTTGTGGATGTTTGTGTTCGTGAACAATGTTATAGGTTTGTTGACATTCCAAATTCAGCCACCTTAAAGAGCAATGCTATAGTTTCATGCACTCTAGGCGCTTGTGTAAATTCCCCAATGATGCAAAATTTAGAATTTTTTTTTTTACTAATTATTTTACATTTGTTTTCAAATTCTTATTTTTCTTCGATTTTATTGTAAATTTTCTTTTTCTGTATATTTGTTTTTCAATTTTATAGAAAATTTTTAAAAATACACTACTTTTATTTACATTTTGTCTTCAAATACACTATTTTTCAAATTTAGTTTTTAATAATATGCTTAAATACCTAAACCTATTCAAAAATAAAAGTTATAACAAGATATAAGCTTAGGTAATCTCTGTGCTCCTTATCCTTATCACATGGTTCATATTCATTATTAAAGGTGTCAAAATAGGTTTTTTGATCGAGTTCGGGTCTAACCCGAAACTGACTTGCCTTCAACTAACTTGACCCAAATCCGACCTGATTAGATAAATGGTTAAAAATTCAAACTCATACCCAACTCTTCCCTAATATGGGTTGGCCCACCATGAGGTTTCGAGAGCGAGCAGGCGAGGTTTCATGCTTGTTAGGCTACAAGGGCAAGCCTCTAGAGGGAGAGGTAATGAGGACAAGCCATGTGAGTGGGCTAGCAAATGAGCATGTGCGCGAGTATGGTTGTGGATGAGTTTTGACAACCAGATCATCGACATAATACTCCACTTGATTATGGACGAGTTTGTCAAAAATTCGGGTCATTGCTTGCTGGTAAGTTGCATCGATATTCTTAAGTCCAAAGGGCATAATCTTATAACAAAAAGACCCCTATAGGTGTTCTAAATGACATACAATTTTCATCTTCGGGAGCCATTATGATTTGGTTATATTCATAAGAGCCGTTCATTAAGGAGAAAATTGCATGGGATGAAGCAATGTCCCCCTCAGCTCCGGTATGAGTAATGGGAATTTTTCTTTGGGACGTGCTTTGTTTAGATCCCTATAGTCCCTTATAGTCGATGCATACACGAATTTTATCATTCTTTCTTTTTTTAACTGGGATGACGATGGCCAATCAAGAGGGGTATTTTTCCTCTCGAAAAAAACTGACATCGATTAATTTTTTAACTTAGCTATCACTTGTTATTCAATTTCTAAACGTATGCGTTGGGAGGCTTGTTTAATGGGAATTGCATTAGGTTGAATTTCAAGCTTATGGTACATCTAAAGCTATTTCAGGCATTTCATCATAGCTTCAAGCAAAACGATTCTTAAACTCAAAAAGCACCGGTGGTGGTCGACAAATAAGAGGAAGTTCGATGGTGATCGGAAGAACTCTGGCGAGCGAAAGTCCGCTGGTGATCGAGAAAGACTTTGGCAGTGGCCGTCGGCAAATAAGCTCCCAAATTCTTCCTTTCACTTCCTTATTTTTCTCCTTCTTTTCCTTGTCTGCCCCCTCTCTTTGATGTGAATAAACGATGGCCTATTTATAGTTTTTTGAGAGTGACATGCCCCGTAAATATAGAGAAGATCGAGGGCATGTTGGGAGTGTTTCAATGGATGGCTCATATTGATCTCTTTGATTTTGAAGCATTTATCAAGCATTTGAGTGCCTAAATGATATTAGAATTGAGTGATCTTGGGCTCATTGGATTCGTATCATCAAGCTGCTTGATCCAACTATAAGCATGCCATATTTGGATATCATTTTATAGTCTAATTAATATTTTGAAACCTCCAAATATGCTTTGGTCCATTGATTTGGGCTCAGATTAGACTAATTTTGGTGTCATTTGATTTTTCTCGTATAGATGTTCAATTTAACTATAAGCTTGTTGAAGTAGGAATTAGGATGGTCCCAAAATTAATTTTTTGCAGCCTTCGATTTAAATTTGCATCGAGATTCGCACATGAACAAGCCGATTTTTTGTGACATATCAACAATGATAGGGCTCAGGGCTCAGGGGTTTATTAGTTAAAATTCATGGTTGCATTTCTAAGATTATAAATTTAAGCTATCGTATATTTGTTTTAAATTTTACAATCATGCTCAAGTACATGTTAATTTTATATTTTATTTTCTATAGATTTATCTTTTTTATATTTACTTGTCCTATTTATTTGAATTTTTTTAATGTGATCTTTCATATAATTACTTGTAAAGACAATATATTTGATCTTTTTAATAAAAAGTAATAATTTGAAAGAACTTAATCTTTTATATAAAATATTTTTTATTTTTATTCATGTGCATTCAGTACATGTGCAATTAAACAAGTATGTATAAAGAGGAAGAGAAACGAGTTGTGATAATATGCAAAAAAATAAAAAAAAAGAAAAAAAAAAGAAATTATT